GAAACGTTTAAGATCCTGAAAGGATTTTATAACGTTCCTGAATTCAACAACTTTTTCATTAAAGCCACTGAGTCTAGACTTTCACTAGACACGCGTTGAAACTGGTGAAAGAGAGGACAAGGACAGGACAACGTTCCCATTTTATTATGAACCGAGTGGTAAATACATGGAATACAGGTGAAATCATGATATTCATTTCAAACAATTTTGAAGATGTATATACTGTTTGGTCCAAAGGTTCGTTACCAACAACTGAAACAGCCAAGATATTGTGTGGATTAAATGCAAGCTCATCCTCTGGTCCTGATGGTATCCCAAATCTACAAATCTGAAAAATCTGTAGATTACCATTAGCCTCTCTACTGAATAGAATATTCAATTACTGCAATACCAATTGTTGCCTTCTGAGAGGAAAACATCTGACTTTACTCCTGTTTTCAAGAAAGGAGACAAAAATATATCAGGAACAACAATTTGATTAACATGACAAGCACAGTTGGCAAAGTTATGGAAAGGGTAATTGTCTGATGGTTTTTCGATCATGCTCCTGGAAATGATATCATCCCCAAACAACATTGTTTCATCCCTGGAAGATCATCTACCAATTTACTTCAGTTGTTAGATACAAGGTCTAAATAATTGGGTCATAAACAACCAGTTAATGTCATTTACCTAGATTCTATATCTAAGGCTTTTGATTAAGTCCCACATAAACAAACACCTTAATTAAAAACTTTCATCCTTGGGTGAAAGGGGAAAACTATTGAGGTGGATTAAAGAATCTGACAGAACTTTCTAGGTAGCAACAGGAGAATACTAGCAAGTCCCCAAACCATTGCAAGTGGGGTCCCTCAAGGTTCAGCTTGGCACCCAATATTATTCATCTTATACATCTGTGACCTTGATGTTGATCTCCCTTCTAGTTGGAACTGCTATGCAGATGACACTAAATTATTCTAGAATCCACTAAAGAATCATCAGATGCTGCAAAATGAACTCAGAAAAGAAGTAGGATGGCCAAAATTTTGGTTGTTGCCCTTAAATTCCAATAAGGGTACAGTCCTCCACATTGGAAAGAATAACCCAAATCTGGACTATAATGTTGGAAATCACATCCATGATTGTATGATAGAACGAAATGATCTTGGAGTTCTTATCAATTAAAATTTGAAATGGGATAACCAAATTGCTGCTGTTACCACAAGAGACATTAGAGTATCATACTTGACCAGAAAGGCATCTCTATATTGTGCCCCTCTCCGGGAAACTTGATCTCTAGAGCATACACAAGACTAATACTTGAATATGCTAATAAGGTTTGTTCTCTGTGCTCTCAAAAAGACAAAAACACATATTGAAGAAGAGCAAAGGCAGAAAACCAAGATCCTTAGGAAACTGTCAATTTCATTAAAACATAAGATTCTGAGAAATGTCAATTTTGACATTTAGAACAGAAGCACGGGTAATATTATAAAAACGTAAAATTTTGCATGGATATTATAAAATTCCTGAATTAAAGAATTTTTTTTATATGAGCCATGGAACCTAGGCTTAGAGGACATATGATAAAGTAGATCACTTTATTGTGAACCAGGTTGCAAATGCATGGAATGCACTTCCAGATGGCTGCATTCAAAACGTATCTCGGCCTGGTGTGTTATAGTGATTCAAAACGAATCTCTGCCTGCCTGGGAATCTGCTTGCCTTTGAGAATAGCAAGTACAGTCATATATCATTTGCAATTAGCTAAATGATATTAAATATACATATGTGTGTGAATATAAATGTACTTGTTCAATCTGCGATCTATAATTGAAGGGTTGGCTGGAAGAAGGGCATAACTCAAATTACAGCATTTATCCATAAAATGTTTCAAAACGTTCTTTAGGTGACTTCCTATCACCCCTCCAGATGGTACTGTGTGAGCCCCAATACATGACATTTGAGTCTTTTGAAGTTCTGAATTGCATCCTTTTTTTGTAACGCTGTTACTACTATGATCTTGCATCATTTCATTTCCTAGTGATTAGAACATCAACAGGATGGCTGTGAATTTGTCCTATATATCTGATTTTTCATCAAATGATAGTGAGTTTAAGCCTCCAGATGATAGCAATACATCTTCAGATGCTGATGAAATAAGGAAAAAAT